AGGGTAGAATATGATGTTATTTCCAAGTTCAGTTTTCGGAGGGAGCCTGTCGAGAATTGGTTGTTGCGCTGGAGACGAAAACTGATGAGTATTGGGGGTTGTGTTCTAGACGGAGGGGGTAGTGTAGAAGATTACTTTCAAATTCAGTTTGGGGAGGGATCCTGTTGAGTATTGGTTGTTGTGTTGGAGACGGAGGCTGTTGAGCACGGGGTGTTGTGCTGTACACGGACGTGGTAGAATAGAAGGTGATCTTCAAGTTCAGGGTGGAGAGGGGACCTGTTGAAAATTGGGTGTTGTGTTGGAAACGCCGGCTGGTGTTGTGTTGAAGATGGAGAGGTAGAGTAGAAGGTTCTTTTCAAGAGCAGCGCTGGGAGGGAGCCTGTTGAGTCTTGGATGATGTGTTGGAGACGGAGGCTGTTGAGTCCTGGGTGTTGTGTTGTAGACTGATGGGGTGGTCGAGTAGAAGGACATGTTCAAGTTAATTTTGGGGAGGGGGCCTGTTGAGTATTGGGTGTTGTGTGGGAGACGGAGACTGTTGAGTACTGGATGTAGCGTTGTAGACGGCGGGGGTAGAGTAGAAGCTTCTGTTCAAATCATCTTGGGTAGGGAGCCTGTTGGGCATTGGGTATTATGTTGGAGACGGAGGTTGTCGAGTACTTGGTGTTTTGTTGCATACGGAGGGGGAGAGTAGAAGGTTGGTTTCAAGTTCGGCTTGGGGAGGAAGCCGGTTGATTGTTTGGGGATTTGGTTGGGGACGGAGGCTGTTGAGTATTGCACGGGGCCTACATCGCTCTGAACTCGGGCCAGCAAACTTTGCAAAAAAAAAGGCTCGCAGAGTGCGAAAACCGTGGGAATACGTTGTTTGCATATCAAAAATGCATAATCGGGAGTCGTGCTGCGTGCGGAAGGCTCTCTCCCTCTCTCTATATAGATGCTTATGGAGAGAGAGGGGGGGGGAGAGAGAGAGAGAGAGAGAGACAGAGAGAGAATAACAAACATAAGGCACACAAAGAAAACAAGGAGCGAGGGAGCTGTGGACGAGATGCGGAGGAGCAAAAGCAAGTGTTCAACGTATGGTTTCTAGAAGTGATCCTACAAGACTCATGTTGCCAACAGGCTTCCATGATTCTGGAGTTTTCTCGACGGGTAAGTGGGGGAGGAGATCAATGATAAGGGCGAAGAACATAAAACATAAGAGGACCAAGAAGAACAGGAGGCGGAAAAGGACTGGTAACTAGGAGGGAAAGGAGGGGTAAGGGATCCAGGAAGGTTCTACACTGCAATCGAGGATCATGTAGTGAGGGGGGGAAATAAAAAGAAGAGGGAGGAGAGAGGTGGACGAGGACGATGATGAGAAGGGAGAAGAAGAGGGTGCAAGGAGAAAGGGAGGGAGAGAGGAGGAAGGAACAAGGGAGGGAGAGAAGCGAGGACGAGGAGGTGGCATGGTTTGTGTTTCAGAACTGCGCGAGACTGGAGAAGGGAGAAGGGGAGGGGGAGGATGACTAAGGATTGCCAGCGTGAAAACGAGAGCGAAGGAGGAGAAGCACCAGCAGCAACTAAATCGGCGCGTATCCCACACTCGTGAAGACGAGGGCCAGCATCGGCAGCGTCACCAACGCGACCACTGGGCTGAGGACCACGTCGAGGGCCCCGGTCCAATGGCAGGCAAAGCTGCCGGCCTTTCCAAAGCATTCAACAGTGTATCGTAAATATTACATTTAGATAGATGTATACATGTGTATATATAGAGTGGGATCTGATGCGCGTGCACGTAAAAAAGATGGCTTGATACTCGGAAATATGTTCGTATATGTATACACGTGTATATATATATATATATATATATATAGGTACAGGCCTGCATGCACCTAAGCAGATAAAGAGAAACCAAGCAACTACGCATATCGATACACCAGAGAAAGAGAGGGGGAGATAAATAATCAGAGAGCAAGAGAGAGAGAGAGAGAGAGAGAGAGAGAGAACGAGAACGAGAGAGAGAAACGAAACGAGAACAACAAAAAGATAACGAGAGAGAGAGCGAGAGAAAGAGAGGGCGTCCTGGAGTGTGCACGTCCACACGAGCATGAGGAAGATCACCAGGATCGCCGTGGCCATACTGAGCGCGGCCCCGACGTTGGTGCAGGCCCTCGGTGAGGGGCTCTCCACGAGCAGCGGCACCTCGTCCATCATCGTCTCGGTGGCCAGCGCCCCGACCAGGATCAGGGTGCCGAAGCAGAAGGCCAATAGGCGGTTTCCGAAGTACGGGAGCCAGGCCTCCGCCAGAGGGTCGTGTTCCTCGTCTTGGTCTTGGTACGCCTCCATGTCGGCGAAGGCCTTTCGTATACATGTGTATAGGTCTGAACAACCAAAGATACATACGTACATCGACACGTATACGTATAAACAACTATGTATATGTATGTGTACGCATGCTGGTTCCCAGATACCGGAACCACGCGCGCTTCGCGCGCGCTTAGGTTCTAGGTGTTCCTTGATGCCCTCCGTATACCCACAATACATAAAGCGATCCCACGCATTCACTATGAGTCCATTCCCACCGCCAGCTTTACGTGTCTTCCCTTACCTATTGTCGTCAGGCCTCGGCTGATTCATAAATCGATGTCCGCTTCAGCTTCGAATTTACTATCCCCTGTTCGCGCTCGCTTCGCGGCGGGGCTTGGAGTCCTGGGTAAGTGTGAATAGTGTATGTCTCCCCTCAATTCACCGTCCTCCTTACCCTCTTCCTCCGCCTCCTCGTGTTTCTCCTCCTCGTCCTTGTCCTAAGTTCGCTCCCCAACCCCGCTCTCCCGCCTTCCTCCCTGCTCCCTCCACTTCCCCCTGGCCGCATTCCACCCTACTCCCAACGATTCTATCAACCTCATCTGCCTACCCGCATCCCGCTCCTCCTAACCCTTAGGCGTTCCGCTCACTCCCGTTTCCGCTTGTTGCCATTCACATTCACTCCCCCTTCCCACCCAAATTGCGACCCCGGCAACTCCTCCCCATTCCTTTACCGGATGTTGGACGGCTCCCAACACTCAGCGAGCTATACTACATTATACATGTATGGTACAATATGCATGTGTAGATATGTAAATGTATGGTAATAGAGATAGCCATGTTGTATATACCCAAGGCACCCATCCAGCCCGCCATCTCTGCAGCGCTGCACAAGCGCGCTGTAGACTCCTCCCCCGTGGATTGGAAGTCCTACAGCGTGCCCCCGATACCCATCCCAGTGCAACCATTATGTGGGATGCGAGGTCATCCTCGGCATGAGAGGGTGCGGAGAATGAGACTCGGAGCCCTACTGCCGCACTAAGCCTCTAAGCCTGAAAAACTTTGTAGGCCACGGACAGGGGAATCAAATGTTTGCCCCTCTCTGTGGGGTCCCTCCCACGCCTTCTATGCCGTTTCCATCCCGGCCCCTCCCGCTTCCATCCCATGGTGGTCCCTTGCCATCGTGCTCCGAGCCCCCACCGTTCCTTCCCTCCCCGTCTGAGTGTTCCCCTTCCCGTTCTCTCCCACGTCCCTGTGATGTGGTTATCCTCTCCTCTTCTTCCTCCTCCTCCCCCTTCTTCACGATTCATCCACCTTCCATGTTACGCGTTCTCTTGAAATGTTGCTGCTACCTGCCTCACTCCGCTTGCATCGTCAGCCCAATTGTCATGATGTCGCCGACGATGATGACAAAGGGGAGGAGAAACAGGAGTATGGACAGTTCCATGTTAGGGCTATCTTGTTGAATATTGTGGCGTGTTGGGAGCCTTTTGAATTACATCCTGGTTTTCTGGGGCCTCCTTCGGCGTTCCCTAGGCCGTCCAGGAACGGTCGTGGGACAACTCGGCACTGCTGTGGCTATCGCGAGGTAAATGTGTGGGATCTTTGAGCAGTGCTGTTTCTCTCTTGTGGATTGTCTCTTGGGGCTCTAATGTGGCTCGCTCGGGGATGGCCTGGGGTAAATTACCCTGCGACGTACCCAACCCAATGGCATCAAGTGGCAAGCGGAGTAGGGAAACATTAACAGGAACCGTCACAGTGCGGGCGCGTGATTAGCGGGCATGATGGGCAACCTCACTTCCAAGCCAAATCGCCACAGTGATCATTCATCATGCTCGTGGTCAAAAGAACTGAGTGACAAGAGAGCCCGAGGGGCAACCTCACCTCTGAAACGACCCGCGTCAATGGTGACAGTTTCCCAGAATGGCAGCCCCCCAGGGACGGCGAGGTCTAATCTGAATCTGCGTGGTGCCTCACTCCGCGGGACTGACCAGCAGCCTTCGAAAGTGGTGACCGTTTCACAGATCGCAGCCCCCCCCAGGGATGGTGAGGTCTAATCTGAATCTGCGTGGTGCCTCACTCCGCTGGACCCACCAGCAGCCCTCGAAACTGGTGGCCGTTTCGCAGATCGCAGACCCCCAGGGATGGCGAGGTCTAATCTGAATCTGCGTGGTGCTTCACTCCGCTGGACCCACCAGCAGCCCTCGAATGTGGCGACAGTTTCGCAGATCGCAGCCCCCCAGGGATGGCGAGGTCTAATCTGAATCTGCGTGGTGCCTCACCCCGCTGGACCCACCAGCAGCCCTCGAATGTGGCGACAGTTTCGCAACCAGCAGCCCTCGAATGTGGCGTCAGTGTCGCAGATCGCAGCCCCCCAGGGATGGCGAGGTCTAATCTGAATCTGCGTGGTGCCTCACTCCGCTGGACCCACCCTCAGCCCTCGAATGTGGCGACAGTTTCGCAGATCGCAGCCCCCCAAGGATGGCGAGGTCTAATCTGAATCTGCGTGGTGCCTCACTCCGCTGGACCCACCAGCAGCCCTCGAATGTGGCGTCAGTGTCGCAGATCGCAGCCCCCCAGGGATGGCGAGGTCTAATCTGAATCTGCGTGGTGCCTCACTCCGCTGGACCCACCAGCAGCCCTCGAAAGTGACGACAGGTTCGCAGATCGCAGCCCCCCAGGGACGGCGAGGTCTAATCTGAATCTGCGTGGTGCCTCACTCCGCTGGACCCACCAGCAGCCCTCGAAAGTGACGACAATTGCAGATCGCAAACCCCCAGGGATGGCGAGGTCTAATCTGAATCTGCGTGGTGCCTCACTCCGCTGGACCCACCAGCAGCCCTCGAAAGTCGAGGTCTAATCTGAATCTGCGTGGTGCCTCACTCCGCTGGACCCACCAGCAGCCCTCGAAAGTGACGACAGTTTCGCAGATCGCAGCCCCCCAGGGATGGCGAGGTCTAATCTGAATCTGCGTGGTGCCTCACTCCGCTGGACCCACCAGCAGCCCTCGAAAGTGGTGACAGTTTCGCAGATCGCAGCCCCCCAGGGATGGCGAGGTCTAATCTGAATCTGCGTGGTGCCTCACTCCGCTGGACCCACCAGCAGCCCTCGAAAGTGACGACAGTTTCGCAGATCGCAGCCCCCCAGGGATGGCGAGGTCTAATCTGAATCTGCGTGGTGCCTCACTCCGCTGGACCCACCAGCAGCCCTCGAAAGTGGTGACAGTTTCGCAGATCGCAGCCCCGCAGGCATGGCGAGGTCTAATCTGAATCTGCGTGGTGCCTCACTCCGCTGGACCCACCAGCAGCCCTCGAAAGTGGCGACAGTTTCACAGATCGCAGCCCCAAAGGGATGACGTAAAAGGCAAGAGAGAAGAGGAGGAGCGAAGAGAGGAGGAGAAGGGAAGCAAGAGAGGAGGAGCGAAGAGAGGAGAAGGGATGCAAGAGAGAAGAGGAGGAGCGAAGAGAGGCGGAGAAGGGAAGCAAGAGAGGAGAGGAAGAGGGAAGAGAGGAGGAGGAGGCGGGAAGGAAGGAAGGTGGAGACCGCAGTGCTCTATTCAAAACGAGTACCCAACGCAGGAGGGTTGGGAACAAGTCGAAAGGCTGGGGAAGGGGAGAGAGCCACCGTGCCTTGGCTCTGGGTCAGAGGCCTCTTGGATGCATGTTCGGGTTTCTTGGGGATCCTCTGGACAGTGTCTTGGGACCAGTTTTGAAGCCTCTTGGGCCTCTGAGGGGCCGTTTAGGAGGCCTCTTGGAAGTTATTTTGGGCGTTCTGGGGGCAACTCGGGGGTTTCTGGGGGGCCTGCTGTCAATCACGGGGGCCTCCTTGGGGCAGAGAGCTCGACACGTGAGATCGAATCCTCCTTTCTGGGCCGACTTAGGCGCCTCGTGGGCCGTTTTTTGGCTCTCTTGGGAAGCTTTGATGCCTTGTTTGGGGCCGATTTGGCACTCTTGGAGCGATCTTGGAGGAGCAGTTCGGTCGTCTTGGACGCTGCGAACACCAAAATGGTGAGTGTGCTAAACGCACATGTCTCCCGGAGGGAATGGGACGATTCGGGCGTCTGGGGGGCCTCTTCGGAGGGCTCTTGGAGCTCTCTTGGGCCTTCCGGGGGGCCTGTTGGCCGTCTCGGAATCATCTTGAACGGTCTTGGAGTGCTCTCGGGGCGCTTTCGGATCGTCTTGGAGGCATCTAGGGCTGTCTGGGAGCCATCGTGGATGTTCCTGGAACGCCCTGGTGGCCGAAAACGGGTCCCTGGCCCTGGGGGCCAAATTCGGTTGCCCAGGGGGAGGGGGGGGCCCATTTGTCACTGTGTGCCGTGGGGGGGGGGGGCCGGGGGGGCCAGCACTCTGACAGTAGATATGCGTATGTAGATACACGCCACGTATCCATACACACATATATATATAGAGAGAGAGGGAGGGAGAGAGAGGGAGAGAGAGAGAGAGATGTATACGTCTACTAGTGTATCGTGCTTGTGGTTTGACTTACTGTTGTATATGAATCCGGATCGTTCGCCATGTCGGCGAAGGCCTGGCGGATGAGCCCCTGGGACTTCCCGTCCAGGAGGGCCCAGGCGAGGACGCCGTCGATGCTGTAGACGAAGCCGATCGCCAGGCCGTCGAGCACGAAGCACACGGGCAGGGACAGCCCCAGGAGCGAGGGCGAGGCCAGCACGAGGCTCGCGAACGAGTAGGCGACCACGCCAGGCAGGACGAACTTCCTGAAGTTGAAGATCACCCATGCCACCGCCTGGATGACGCGAGCCTGGGCAGGTCCGAATGAGGCCACGTGCTCGACGCGGAAGGCGAACACATCGGTGATCAGTGTCTGCTTGTCCATGTCGACAACGTAAAACACAAGCACAAGCCACGTGACAAAAAAAAAAACCAGAAACGCACCGAGCGTCAACTGATTGCGGAAATCCACGACGAAGTCACAGCGATCTGGAAAGGCGTCCTCAGCATTGCAGTACGAGACAGCAGCAGCCAAGGAGCTGGATGCGGCCTGGTACGCGTCGGTGTCGTACCTCTGGTGAAGGTTGGTGTAGTCCTGGACGCTGAGCAGGTTGGCCCATTTGCAGTCGTCGCACATGCCTGGGGTGCTTGTGTAGCCGCCTGGGCCACGGCTGGGCGCGCACCACATGCCCGCGTGACAGTCCCAGTTGTTCGTGCAGGGCGGGTGCAAAGAGTCGATGCTGACCGCGTGGAGCACGAAGCACTGCAAGACCAAGAGAACAATGGATGGAACCATCGCGGCGATTGCGCTGCAAAAGCTCCTGTTGGCCCGGGTAGCCGCACACAAGCTCCACGTGTGAATTCCGACGCAATTGATATTCTTCTGCGTGACGGACAGGAATATCGCGTAGGCCCGCTGCTTCTGGTCTTCATCGGTTTTCATTCGGGGCCCCGTCATCTCCTTGAATGAGTTCGGCAATTGCTTGGCATTAGAGTTGGTCCCGTTCTGCGGCCTGATCTCCCACTCCGTCCCAATGTAATTACTCCTCTTTGAGATGTCGATTGCGACACAAAGACACAGGGGTGCGTTCACACATTTCTATGAGTTTGTCTACGTAGCTCGGAGTATTTAGGGCTGTAATGCTGCGCCATGTACGACACCGCACGTAGTTGCCCCCGTGCCGATGTGCAGATACCTGTGTGTCTACATATACATGTACAGATATGTATGTACATACATGAATGGAGCTCGGGTCCCCCGCATGATCATACGCTTTCATCGTCTGCCCATATGACGTGTTCGCTGCCCCCCCTCTTTGTTAATTCAAGCTGTGCGTGGCCCGCTTAGCTTCGACCGGAAGAGGTGCGCTCTCGACCCGCGAATTAAAAAATATGACGTGTTCACCAAGTCCCCCATTGATCACCTTCAGCTCGTCGTAACAATCGTACTAGTAGTAGTAGTAGTAGTAGTAGTAGTAGTAGGAGTAGTAGTAGTAGTAGTAGTAGGAGTAGTAGTAGTAGTAGCAGTAGAAGTCGTAGTAGTAGTTGTAGTCGCAGTAGTGGTAGTAGTAGTAGTAGTAGTAGTCGTAGTAGTAGTAGTAGTAGTAGTAGTAGTAGTAGTAGTAGTAGTAGTAGTAGTAGTAGTAGTAGTAGTAGTAGTAGTAGTAGTAGTAGTAGTAGTAGTAGTAGTAGTAGTAGTAGTAGTAGTAGTAGTAGTAGTAGTAGTAGTAGTAGTAGTAGTAGTAGTAGTAGTAGTAGTAGTAGTAGTAGTAGTAGTAGTAGTAGTAGTAGTAGTAGTAGTAGTAGTAGTAGTAGTAGTAGTAGTAGTAGTAGTAGTAGTAGTAGTAGTAGTAGTAGTAGTAGTAGTGGTAATAGTAGTAGTCGTAGTAGTAGTAGTAGTAGTAGTAGTAGTAGTAGTAGTAGTAGTAGTAGTAGTCGTAGTCGTCGTAGTAGTAGTAGTAGTAGTAGTGGTAGTAGTAGTAGTAGTAGTAGTAGTAGTAGTAAAAGTAGTAGTAGTAGTGGTAGTAGTAATAGTAGTAGTAGTAGTAAAAGTAGTGGAAGTAGTCAAAGTAGTAGTAGTAGTAGTAGTAGTAGTAGTAGTGGTAGTAGTAGTAGTACTAGTACTACTAGTAGTAGTAGTAGTAGTAGTAGTAGTGGTAGTAGTCGCAGTAGTAGTAGAAGTAGTAGTAGTAGTAGTAGTGGTAGTAGTAAGCAGAAGGAGTAATAGTAGTAGTAGTAGTAGTGGTAGTAGTCGTAGTAGTAGTAGCGGTCGTAGTAACAGTGGTAGCCGTCGTAGTCGTAGTAGTAGAAATAATAATAGTAGTAGTAGTCGTACGTAGTAGTAGTAGTAAAGGTAGTAGTAGCAGTAGTAGTAGTAGTAATAACAATAGTAGTGGTAGTAGTAATGATAGAGTCGTAGCAGTCGTCGTAGTCGTAGAAGTAGTAGTTGTAGTAGTAGTAGTAGTAGTAGTAGTAGTAGTCGTACCCGTAGCAGTAATAGTAGTAGTAGTAGTAGTAGTAGTAGAAGTGGTAGTAGTAGAAGTAGTCGTAGTAGTAGTAGTAGTAGTAGCAGTAGTAGTACGAGTAGCAGTAGCAGTAGTAGTAGTAGTAGTAGTAGTAGTAGTAGTAGTTGAAGTGGTAGTAGTGGTAGTAGTAGTAGTAGCAGTAGTAGTTGTAATAATAATGATAATAGTAGTAGTAGTAGTAGTAGTAGTGGTAGTAGTAGTAGTAGTAGTAGTAGTAGTAGAAACAATAGTAGTAGTCGTAGTAGTAGTAATAATAGTAGTAGTAGTAGTAGTAGTACTTGTAGTAGCCGTATTAGTAGTAGTAGTAGTAGTAGTAGTAGTAGTAGTAGTAGTAGTAGTAGTAAGCATAGTAGAGACCCCGAGAGGCCCCAAAGAGGCCCCAAGAAGCCCCCACGAGGCTTCCAAGAGGCCCCCAAGAGGCTGCCACGAGGCCCCATAACGACTGGACTGTACGTGCTCCGGACGTGCACCCCACAAAGCGAGAGGAATCAAAAGCACACCGCATGCAAAATCCGACCGGGCTGGCAAGGAGCCCCCCACCCCGCGAGGGCCAGAGCGGCGATTCTCATACGGTCTGGCATTTTACTTTGAACAGCGTGTCGCGGCGGCGGCCCTGGCGACACGCTGTGCCCTGCGCGCGGATAGTGTGTCGCTCCACTCTGCGGGGCAGGATGTTGTGAACAACTCGGGACGTGGACGCCTGGGGACCGCGATGTGGATGGCGTGTCGTGTCGAAGCACGGCGGGCAAGAATCTGCGGCGCGACACGCTAAGCCAAAGCTCGCAGCCGTAATCCCCCCTTCCTACACATGGAAAGATGTGTGATACAGCCTCTGATGCAAATTGCAAAACATTGCGGAAGTCAAGCGTCTTAATGATAAATCTGTCGGCCTCGGGCACTTTATCGACCCCTGTAGTGTCGACAATGAGAAGGCCACCTGAAATATCAAACACTACGAACCCCGTGCATTGTCGATACCGATCACGCTGGCACAATTTTAGACGCGGAGCAGCTTCCAGACCCACGAGATCACCCTCAAACGTCGAAATCGGCACAACACCCTCAACATCCTCAGATATCGAAAACGGAAACACACAGTGGAATGTCGAAATCGAAAACCCGTTTCCTTCGAGTCCTGGGAAGGGAGCCACAAAGGTCTTTTCCAACGGGGGATTGCTTCCATGTCGCTACTGAGATGGGCCTGGACTTGCCCAATGCCCAATCTGGCCTGCCGGGCAGGGAACGACCCTCCAGGACAAGGACTTCTGCCCCTGAAGGTGCTTCCTGGGGTCTCTACTCCTGGGAGTGCCTGAACAATTCTCGCCGACGACAGCCAAGCTACTAGAGGCGGGTCCGAGTAGATGGGGTCGGAGAATCGCGCCAGCTCGTTGACGTATCGGCGATACATCGCTGATGCATCGGCGGTGCACCAGCGACGTCGGCGACCCATCGGCGCCGTAGAGAAAATCGGGCCCCACATCGAGCCACATCGGCGATGAATCAGCGATGCGGCGCGATCCTCCGACCCCACCTGCTCGGACCCCACCTGGGAGGCCTAGAACTGCACTCCTCACCGCTTCGGTCTTGGGGCGGCCGCGTCCGGCTCCTCTTGCTCGTGACGCTCCGTGGCGAGAGGGGCTCGAAGGTGGTCTCGGCGCCGGAAGCAACCGACAAGTCGAGCTGAAGCTTCTCGGCCTCGCGGAGAAGGCAGGCAAACACCGCCGCCAAGGCTCGACAGGGCTTGGCTGATCCAGGCCGGGATCATGGCGGATCGGGCCGCTCTGCCTGCAGGGCAGGGGTCGACCTCCACCAAGATATCCAGCCCCAAACCAGGCACTGGCCCCAGACATCACGAGGTCCTGTTTATCCAAACGAGACCACCAGAAATCCCGACCCGTTTTCCAGGGGCCCGAACATCACCGTTCGAATAGTTTTTGGACGGTTCCGGGCTTGGCGAGGGCCCCTGGGGGCCGGACGCAAAACAAAAATGCCCCGTAAGGCATATTTTCGCGACGCGAGCACGGTTGTAGCTTGGATTTCGAGGCGAGGCTGGCCGCGGCGGCGAGCCCCCCCCCCAGAGAGGCCCCCGCAGAAGCGGCCGCGGGGCGCAGAGAAGGGGGAAGAGAGAGGAGGAGGAGGAGGAGGAGGAGGAGGAGGAGGAGGAGCAGTGTAAACCCAAGAGTCATCAACAATGTTGGAATAAACCCTCCCTCCAAGCTCCCTCTTCACAGGCCCCTACAACGGCTCATTTCCACTGGAAGAACTGCCTCGTTGGCAGACTGCTGTTTGAAGAACCTGAAGCGTGCCAGAAACATTATTCTCGGGACTCCAACGCCACGGATCAACCAGACGGTTGCGTATTGAGGATCCTGAATTGTGCCAAGACGCCATTCCTGGGACTTCAACACTGCGAATCAACGTAATTGCTGCTCCCTGATAAGCCTGAATCTTTCCAAAACACGATGTCTGATACGTTGGCCATGGGAATTCGTAAAAATTTTGCAGGTTTTGAAAATGAGTATGCGCGGCGCTAAGGCGAGCACCACCTTTTGAAATGGACTCGCCTTCAATCCGTGAAACTCTTGCAACTGTCAAGAACGAATGCGTGCGGCGCTGAGGCGAGGCACACATTTTGAAAACCACCCGCCCTCAATCCGTGAAGCTCGTGTACACGTTTAATACGAATTTGCGCGGCACTAAGGCGAATGTCACATTTTGAACATAGAAAATACCGCCCTCGATCGGTGAATCTCTTGTGCATTTGAAAACGAATGCGCGCGGCGCCAAAGCGCGAGCCACATTTTGAAAACGACCCGCCCTCCATCTGTGAAGCAGTTGCCAACTTTTAAGCTTCAGGGTCACCAATAATGAAGAAATATAAAGCGAAACGCCCGGCCCGCCCTTTCGACCGACCTCTGGGTGCGACAGGGATAAGTTATTTATGAGGAAGGAGAACGGACGAGGAGGAGCAGGATGAGGAGGAGAAAGAAAACGAGGAGGAGGAGGCGGAGGAAAAGGACGAGGAGAAGGAGGAGGAGGAGGAGCTCCTTGGACACGCGCTCCAGCAGACTCCCGATGCGCCTCGCGACCCCTTTGTTGCTGGACTGCAACTTGCGCAGCGTCCTCTCGTCGAGCGAATTGATCGCGCGCTGGACCTCGTGGTCCATGCCGCCAGAAGCCTCGAGCGCCACGACGCCCCTGTGCCCCCCCATCCTCTTCCTGGCATTTCCCCCATCACCCCCTTCTCCACCACCACCACCACCACCACCACCACCACCACCACCACCACCACCACCACCACCCTCCATCTGCCCCTCACCTGCTACTCTCCCCCTCCCCGTTGCCCCTCCCATCCCCCTTCCCCTCCCTTCCCATCGACCGGGGCCATCTATCATCTTGCTATATCCTGGGGCCTCCTGGGGCCTCCTGGGCCCTCCTGAACCTCCTGCGGCCGATCGTGGCGTCCTGGGTCGGCCGGGGGCCCCCTGGGCCATCATGGGGTTTCCTGGACCTGATAGGGGTTTCGTTCCTGTGGTCCCCCTGTGTCCTCCGGGGCCTCCTGAAGCTTCCACTGACCTCGAAAGAGCCGCCAGCGAACCCCGAGGAGGGCCCAGCACTTAGTAGATTTTAAAAGCGCTGAGGGCGTTTTTTTGGGGGGGATGGGAACAAACTGTTCGTGTTCAGGTCGCCCAACACATTTAAACAACGGCAGCCCAAAACAGAACAAAAACGACACCGACCGGGCTCCACACGAGCGAAAAGCGGCAACCCAAAACAGAAAAAAAAAAACGGCAACCCGAAACAGAAACGAATTGACAGAAACGGGAAACATAAACAACCGCAGCTAACAAAACAACTATAAAACGAATCGCAAAACGAACAGGAAACGGCGAGACGGTAATCCCAAAGTGGAGAAATACGGCTCCCATAACATAAAAAAGTCCATGTTGAAAACGGAGAAATAAAAACGCCCCCCCCCCGCGTTTTCAAAACACATTAGCGCTCTAAGGTCCTCAAGCGAGCTCTAGAGCGCCAGCGAAAACAAACCAATACAACCAAAACCAGCCTGGGAACGGGCCAGCCGAGGGACCGAGCGACCGAGGGGCGGGCGACGAGCCTAGGGAGACCAGAGCAACCGACAGACACGCGAAAACAAACCAAAACAACCAAAACCAGCCTGGGAACGGGCCACTCGGGGGGCCGGGCGACCGAGGGGCGGCCGACGAGCCTGGGTCGACCAGAGCAACCGATGCACACGCGACAACAAGCCAAAACAACCAAGACCAGCCTGGGAACTGGCCCGTCGAGGGGCCGAGCGACGGAGGAGCGGCCGACGATCCTGGGGCGACCAATGCAACCGATGGACAAGCGGAAAGAAACCACAACAGGCAAAACCAACCTGGGAACAGGCCAGCCGAGGGGCCGAGCGGCCGAGGGGCGGCCGACGAGCCCGGGGCGACTGGCGCAACCGATGGACAAACGAAACCAAGCCAAAACAACCAAACCTAGCCTGGGAACGGGCCACCCGAAGGGCTGGGCGACCGAGGGGCGCCTGGGGCGACCAACCAGTGCAACCGATGGACAAGCGAAAACAACCCCAAACAACCAAACCTAGCCTGGGAACGGGCCACCCGAGGGGCCGAGCGACCGAGGGGCGGCCGACGAGCCTGGGGAGACCAGAGCAACCGACGGACAAGCGAGAACAAACCGAAACAACCAAAACCACCCTGGGCACGGGCAAGCCGAGGGGCCGAGCGACCGAGGGGCGGGCGACGAGCCTGGGCAGACCAGGGCAACCGATGTACACGCGAAAACAAACCAAAACAACCAAAACCAGCCTGGGAACGGGCCAGCCGAGGGGCCGAGCGGCCGAAACGCGGACAACAAGCCTAGGCCAACCAATGCAAACAATGGACAATCGGAAACAACCCAAAACAAGCAAAACCAGCCTGGGAACGGGCCAGCCGACCGACGAGCCCGGGGAGGCCAGCGCAACCGATGGACAAACAAAAACAAGCCAAAACAACCAAAACCAGCCTGGGAACGGGCCAACCGAAGTGCCGAGCGGCCGAGCGGCGGCCGACGAGCCTGGGAAAACCAGAGCAACCGACGGACACGAAGCCAGAACAACCAAAACCAACCTGGGAACGGGCCGGCCGAGGGGCCGAGAGACCGAGGGGCGGCCGACGAGCCTGGAGCCACCAGTGCAACCGATGGACAAACGAAAACCTGCCAAAACAACCAAACCTAGGGCCAGCCCAGGGGCCGAGCGACCGAGGGGCGGCCGACAAGCTTGGGGCGACCAGCGCAGCCGATGGACAAGCGGAAACAAACCCAAATAGGCAAAACCAGCACGGGAAAGGGCCAGCCGAGGGGCCGAACGGCCGAGAGTTGGCCGACGAGCCTGGGGCGACCACTGCAACCGACGGTCAAGCGAAAACAAACCAGAACAACCAAAACTAGCCTGGGCACGGGCCGCCCGAGGGGCCGAGCGACCGAGGGGCGGCCGACGGGCCTGTTGCGACCAGTGCGACCGATGGACACGCGAAAACAAACCCAAACAACCAAAACCAGCCTGGAAACGGGCCCCACGGGCCACCCGAGGGGCCGAGCGACCGAGGGGCGGCCAACGAGCCCAGGGCAACCGACGGAAAAACGAAAACAAACCCAAACAACCAAAACCGGCCAAACAAGCCAAAACAACCGACGGACAAACGAAAACCACCAGAAACAGTCAGCGTCCTCCAGGAAGTAACAACCAAGCCCTAAAAGTAGATTTGGTTCGCGCCCGCCCCAAAAACATGCAAACATAGCCATTATTGAAGGAGGAAGGCGCGCAAAGTCGATTGGGATCTGGGAGTCAAAACAATACTTTCAACGACCAACGTGTATCTATCAGAGGCCGTCGTCGTCGTCTTCGTTCGCTGATCGGCGGCGTCAACTGTTGTCATCGTCGTCGATCGTCGTCGTCGATCGTCGCCGTCGACGACCGTCGTCGTCATCGTTAATCACCGTCGCCGATCGTCGATCGCCCTCGAGCCCTCCCCCCAACTCCTCCTCCTCCTCCTCCTCCTCTTCCTCCTCCTCCTCCTCCTCCTCCTCTTCCCCGCCTCCTCATCCTTTTCCTCTTCCTCCTCCTTCTCCTCCTCCTCCTTCGCCCTCTCCGTCTCCTCCGCGCAGAAGAAATCCAACAACATCTCGCGCAAATCAACGCATTGTGGCCCTCCGGCTTTTTCGAATGTCCTCGTATAGGGCTCTTTGGGGGCCGTCCTGGGGCCCGCTTGGGCGTCAAGGGAACCCGGACATCATGTTCCCGGAGAGGCTTCCGGGAACATGATTTCGAACGACGCCCTCTTTGGCCCTCCCTGAGGCCGTCTTGGGGGCCTCCCGGGCCGGCTTCGGGGCCTCTTGGTCCGTCTTGGGCCGTCTTGGGTCTCTCTTGGGCTGTCTTGGGGCTCCTCGGGGGCGTCTGGGGCACTGTGAAGTCGAAGCAAGCGAGTCTGCTGAAAACGTACGTTTCACAAAGGGAATGGGCCAATGTGTGCATCTTGAAGGCCCTCTAGGGGCCCTCTTCGGCCGTCTTCAAGCCATCTCGGGCCCTCTTTGGCCTCGCTGAGGCTGTCTCGTGGGCCTCTTGGGCCCCCTGGGAACCTGGACATCATGTTCCCGGAGAAGCTTCCGGGAACATGATTTCGAACGAAGCCCTCTTGGGCCTCCCTGAGGCCGTCTTGGGGGCCTCCCGGGCCGGCTTCGGGACCTCTTGGGCCGTCTTGGGGGTTCCGTAAGCCCCATGGGGCGACCCTTTTGGGCAGTCTTGGGCCGTCTTGGGTCTCTCTTGGGCTGTCTTGGGGCTCCTCGGGGGCGTCTGGGGCACTGTGAAGTCGAAGCAAGCGGGTCTGCTGAAACTATACGTTTCACGAAGCGAACGAGCCAATGTTTGCATCTTGAAGGCCCTCTAAGGGCCCTCTTCGGCCATCTTCAAGCCATCTCGGGCGTTGGGCCTCGCTGAAGCTGTCTCGCGGGCCTCTCGGGCGTCCTGGGAACCCGGAAATCATGTTCCTGGAGTGTTCCTGGAGAGGCTTCCGGGAACATCATTTCGAACGAGGCCCTCTTGGGCCGTCTTGGGGGCCTCCTGGGCCGGCTCTGGGGGGTTCCGTAAGCCCCCTAGAATGACCCTTTTGGGCCGTCTTGGGCCGTCTTGGGTCTCTCTAGGGCTGTCGTGGGACTCCTCGGGGGCGTCTGGGGCACTGTGAAGACGGGGCAAGCGAGTCTGCTGAAACGATACGTTTCACGAAGGGAACGAGCCGATGTTTGCATCTGGAAGGCCCTCTAAGGGCCCTCTTCGGCCATCTTCAAGCCATCTCGGGCGTTGGGCCTCGCTGAAGCTGTCTCGCGGGCCTCTCGGGCGTCCTGGGAACCCGGAAATCATGTTCCTGGAGAGGCTTCCGGGAACATCATTTCGAACGAGGCCCTCTTGGGCCGTCTTGGGGGCCTCCTGGGCCGGCTTTGGGGGGTTCCGTAAGCCCCCTAGAATTACCCTTTTGGGCCGTCTTGGTCCCTCTTGGGTCTCTCTTGGGCTGTCTTGGGACTCCTCGGGGGCGTCTGGGGCACTGTGAAGACGGGGCAAGCGAGCATGCCGAAAATGTATGTTTTACAAAAGGAATGGGCCCTCTGGGGGCGCTCTTGGGCGTCTTGGGGCCCTGTTGGGCCTCGCTGAAGCTGTCTTGTGGGCCTCTTGGGCTGTCTTTGGGGCCTTTGGGGCCGTCTTGGGCGGGTTCGTGGACCCCGCAGGACGCCCGGGGCGGCCATGCCAACCGGCGGCACCACCCCACCCTTGCCCCCGGGCCCTACTCCGATATATATATATATATATATATATATATATATATATATATATATATATATATATACGTATTTACTTATTTTTCCCCACATGCTTCGTGGGGGTCTGGTTTTCTTCCTTGCCGCGCCGCACCCGCGACACTCCCACACACACCTCACTCTTCCTCTCCTCCTCACAGCACTGCTCAGCACATCTCAGCTCAGCTCAGCTCAGCTCAGCACGGCACAGCTCAGCACAGCTCAACTCATTTCAGCACAGCACAGCTCAGCCCAGCTCAGCTCAGCACAGCTCAGCTTAGGGGGTGCGCAGGGGGTGGTCCCTCACCGCGGCCGCACGCAGGAATACAGGGTGCGGCAGGCGTGGCAATGTCTCCATAACAGAGGCGGTGCGCGGGGGGT